CAATAATAATAGTCGATCTTGTATTAATTTTCTCTCAAAGTGAACGTTAGTTATATGGACTGGACATTTAAAGTCAGCTGAAAATCCAATGGAAATTAATTTGCATTGAATTCACACAAATATCTACAACTACCCTTTCTTTTTCCTTGCTTCCTTCCCCGCTCTCTCAGCTGCATTTACACATCTCCCTCAAAATGGCTCTACTAAATCTAAGAAAAGATTTACCAAGCTTTGTTCTAGTGGGAATTATTCTTGCCTTAGCAATTATTCCCAGCAATGTAATGTGTCAACAGTGTAATTGTGCCCCAGGCTTATGCGTAGAAGTTATGTTAATGTGGCACAGGTCAACAGTATTGCGGCGAGGGCTGCCAAGCCGGGCCTTGTACCGCTACTACGAATGGTGTTGTGGTGGCGAATATTGTGACGCCGGAGTTCTTTGGCGGGATCAAGAATCAAGCTGCCCAAATTGTCCTGGGAAGAGCTTCTATACACGAGATGCATTCTTGAATGCTCTCAGTTCTTTTCCTCATCGGAAAAAACTGGTTTGCTGATGACTCTAAGCGTGAGATTGCAGCATTTTCGCTCATGTAACACATGAAACTGGAAGTAAGTTCTTGATTTGCGTCAACACATATTTTCTTTGCATATATCACTCGTGGAACATATTTCTTTAGTATTTATTAGCATCAACTAACATTGCTTGTTTTTGCAGGTATGTGCGCAATAGAAGAGAATAACAGGCAAAATAACTATTGTGAGAACGATCCACAGTATCCCTGTGCTCCAGGCAAGTTCTACTACGGCCGAGGTCCAATTCAACCACTGAAACCGCAACTACGGAGCTGCCGGAAAGGCCCGGATTGATGGACTTCACTCTCCTGAAACGGTGGCCAAGGATCCTGTTTTATCCTTTAAGACTGCCTTGTGGTTCTGGATGAACAATGTCCACTCAGTTTTAAACCAAGGCTTTGGGGCTACAATCCGGAGGATTAATGGTGCTCGTGAGTGTGATGGCAAAGAACCTGCCAAGGTTCACGGCTCGTATTCGGTAATACACTGATTATTGTAGGAAATTTGGTGTTGATCCTGGCCCGAATCTCAATGTAGGTTCCTCACCACTAAATTTACCGGATAAAGAATAATGTATCTTATCATGAAAAAGTTTTCATGAACAACTTAATAAAGTGTTTTGAGTATTCTAATAATCTGCTGAGATTTCATGCTCATAAGACTGTATTAATGTTTATTATAAATCTCAGATATTAGACGAGTTTAGGAGTAAATATATCTGTAAAAAGCAATGCTTCTCGCAACACAGGACTTCTGAGAAGGTCATCCATCCTAATATTGGTTAAGTACAAATTACAATAATATTATTCCCTGTCAGCATGACTAATTTCGGATTTAGTCAGGTTTGGATTAACATAAACGGCATTTCTTTTGATTATAATGGAAATATAACGAGCATAATGTCCTTATATTCAAGATAACTTAGGTGATATTTTAATTCCTGAATACTATTTCTCGTCAAGACTATTTGATAGTGTTAATTAGCTATAATAATCAACCGTTGGTCTTCTAGGATCTCGTGAATTTAATTTTGAACGAACAAGACATGGACTAGGACCCATAGTCTCTGAATCTAATGAAATTTACTTAGCCATGTGCGTGAAATTAATTGCGTGGAAAGAAAAAAGGAAACGGAAGACAAATTCGGGAAATTTCTTAACCAATTGACGCTAACATCATGACTTATCAACCATTGAATTTCTTCCAAGAGTACTAATGAAGGCACATAAAGTTAACCGAAAAGTTCATTCCAGGAAATGTAGTCATAAAAATCTCTTGAATTTAAATTGTAAGACTAATATATAACAAATCTATAAACTCATGCATGCTATATGATTTTCTTTTTTAAAAGTCATTATTATATTATAGTTGTTACAATGAATACATAGTTTGCTTTCTTCAAAATGGTTCTTAATGTGAGAAAATGGTATTCAAGCTATGTTCTACTGGAAATATTTCTGCCTTGGCAATATTCCTAGCAATGTATGTGTCAACAATGTAATTAGGGGTGAGCGATTCCAGGTACCCTGCATTTTTTGAGAGAAGATCGGAACCGGAAAATAGCACAGTGTAGGTTCCCAAAAAAAGGAATCGGAATCAGAACCGGAACCCAAAATGCAGGTTCCGGTTCCTTTCCCGGGTATCCTATAAAAATCAATTACCCCTAGTATAGTTAAAAAATGATAAAAATATCTTAAAAGTTTACAAATACACCCCTAACAAATTTTGATTACTCATTTATGGTGCCAATGTAACTCATAAATCATCTCTAGACAACACTTGAATTCAATCAATTCCATAATAGTAAAATTCTCAATTAAAACCAAGACACAAACATATTCATCTGTAAATTGTTAATTTAATGTTATAAATTGTTAATGTTATATGTAATTAATAATATTGTAATTAATTAATTAATTAATTAATTAATTATAATATAATATATAATTAATAAGTAATCATACTATTCATGTATAATAAATGTATAATAATTAAATTTTTAATATTTAATTAATATTGTACTAATGTTTATAATGTGAATGTTATAATTAATTAAATTTAATCATTTAATTAAGTATTGTGCTAATGTTTATGTAGTAAATTAGTAATTACTAATGTTTATAATATAAATCATAATAATTAAGTAATCATTAATTATGTAATGTTAAATTAATTATGTAATCATACTATAATGTAATGTTATAATGAATTAAGTAATTATACTATAAATCTTTAATGTAATATATTAATTAATTGAATTTTAATCATTTAATTAAATATTATACTAATATTTGTAATGAAATGTTATAATAATTATAGAATTAAGTAATATCTATAAATCATAAGTAATGCTATAATTATTAAATTCAATTATTATTAAGTAATATACTAAATGTTAAGTCAATTAATTAAGTATTAATCCATTAATGTAATGCTATAATTAATTATACTATAAATCAATTAAGTAATACTATAAAATTATAATTAATTAAGTAATCATTTAACTATAATGTAATGTTATAATTGATTAAGTATGATATTTAACTAGTAATTAAATTTATTAATGTTTATCAATTTATCATATATAATTAATTAATTTCTAATTTACTATAAATATACTTAGAACTTGATAATTGAAGTAAATAACTAAATATATTATTATTCAATCAAATATACTATTTTATTCAAAAATGATTCTTCATTTTCATGTAATTTAAGGAGACGTTAACATAAGCGGCATTTCCTTTTTGATTTTAATTGGAAATATAACGAGTATAATGATCCTTTATATTCAAAGATAACTTAGGGTGATATTTCAATTCCTGAATACTATTTCTTGTCAAGACTATTTGATAGTGTTAATTAGGTAATAAATCATAACCGTTGGTTTTCTAGGATCTCTTGTAAATTTAATTTTTCAACGAACAAGACTTGGACAAGGACCCATAGTCTTCTGAATCTAATGAAATTTATTTAGCCATGTGCATGAAATTAATTGCGTGGAAAGAGAAAAAGGAAATGGAAGACAGATTCGGGAAATTTCTTAACCAATTGACGCTAATATCATTGACTTATCAACCATCATTGAATTTCTTCCAACAGTACTAATGAAGGCACATAAAAGTTAACTGAAAAAGTCCATTCCAGGAAATGTTGTCATAAAAAATCTCTTGAATTTAAATTGTAAGACTCATATATAACAAATCTGTAAAAAGCAAGGTTTTTTTTTTTTTTTTTTTTTTGTACAAAAAGGTATAACACGAGAACTTATCAGGAGATTATCGATCGTAATATTGTTTGAAGTTACCCATCACAATATTAATCCGTATCAAGCATGACTGATTTTGGATTTATTAAGGTTTTGACTAATATTAATGGCATCTCCTTTTGATTTTAATTAGAAATATAACGAGTATAATAACACCTTATATTGAGTTTTATCTCTATTGAATTAGTTTTAACATTGACTGATAATTTTGCAAAGGCTTCAACGTTTTAAAGGGCCTCAGCACCTAAAATTATTGGAAATATTTAATTAAGTTAAAAGTTTTAACTTAGTTGATATATATTAGGTAAGAAATCATAACCGTTGGTTTTCCAGGATCTCTCCTATGATTAATTTTTCAGAAAACGAGACATGTTGGTGAAAGTTAGTCATGTGCATGAAATTAATTGCGTGGAAAAAATCAACCATTGAATTTCTTCCAGATGAAGGCACATAGACGTACACCGGAAAGTTCAATCGAGGAAATGTTGTCATAAAAATTCTCTTGTATTTAAAATGTAAAATTTATTATAATATTGTAATATATAACAAATCTATAAGCTCATGCATGCTATATTAATTTTTTTTTTTTTTTAAAAAAAAAATCACCTATTATAATAGTTGTATTAAAAAAAATATAGATGTGTAATTAATATAATATATTAAACTTAATTATTAAAATCTCACCGACCAATTAAAACCTCTAATTCTTTGTTTCATTATTCTTTTTTCTTTACAACTATTTGGAAGACCATAAGTTACAGAGACTCGCCTTCTTAAATATATAGAAATCTGTATTGATTTCACATTATCGGAATCTAACGACTGTGAGTGGGGGTGTTTTTATCATTTTGTAAAATTTTTATATGTTAGGATATTTAGTAAATTAGCAAACCTAGAAGGGTGTTTTTGTTAATTTTTAAATTCTACTTCATTATTCTCACCCAATTCTAAAAATATCAAAAATTATACCCAAAATAACAAAACAAACGGACCCACCACATACCCTTTGTTTACGTTGCCTTTTCTTCCTGTGTTCACAACTTGACATTAACTCAACCGGCCCGTAGACTTACAAGGAGACCCGTGATCAACACGATACAGCTGAAAATTTTGCAGCATAATTATATACACACTGGTTATACTATAAATAGCTTGCTCTCTCAATTGCATTTGCACACATTATCATTATCTCTCTCAAAATGGCTCTTAATCTGAGAAAATTACGTCTTTCAAGCTTTGTTCTAGTGGGAATAATTTTTGCCTCAGCAATTATTTCCGCTACTAGTGTTGATGTGGGTAGTATTGTGACTCCTGAGTTCTTTGATGGGATCAAGAATCAAGCCGCACCAGATTGTCCAGGGAAGAGCTTTTACACGAGAGATGTGTTTCTGAATGTTCTTGATCAATATCCTGAGTTTGGCCAAACTGGTTCGGATGATGATTCTAAGCGTGAGATAGCTGCATTTTTTGCTCATGTTACTCATGAAACTGGAAGTAAGTTCTTCATTTAGCTTTAATTCATATTTGCTATATGTATTAATTACTCTTTAATGTGGATGTCTCCATATTTTTCAAATTGCAGTTCGAGTTTAATATGGATGTCGATTAATGCTTTACTAACGAAAGGAAACAAAATTTTAGCCTGAATATTATGTATTTAATTAACCATGCACAAAATTGTTTGTTTTTTTATTTTACAGGTTTGTGCAAAATAGAAGAGGACAACAAGGAAGTCTACTGTAATGACCCTAACTATGCTTGCATTCCAGGAAAGTCATACTATGGGCGAGGACCAATTCAACTCACTGGAAATGGTAATTACAAAACGGCTGGAGATGCTCTACAATTCGATGGACTAAACTCTCCTGAAAAGGTAGCCCAAGATCCTGTTCTATCTTTCAGAACTGCCTTGTGGTACTGGAAGACCAATGTTCACTCAGTTGTAAACAACGGTTTTGGGGCAACAATCAAGGCGATTAATCCTACTGAATGTGGTGGCGGAAACGCTCCTGAGGTTCAGAGTCGTATTCAGTATTACAAAGAATATTGCACCAAATTTGGTGTTGATCCTGGCCAGAATCTCTCTTGTTAGGTTCTTGCACCAGTTGAATTACTAGTATATAGAGAATAAAAAGAGTTGCTTCATGAACAACTTAATTAATTGTTTGAGTACCCTTATAGCCTTCTGAAGGTTATATGTATCTGGGAATATGTTAATGCTTATTTACACATGCAGATCTTGTTTTACCTTTATTAGAAGATATATATGTGAAAAGTGTTTTGATTTGATATCATTTCTCGCACAAAGAGTGTAACACAAGGACTTCCTAAGAGGTCAATTACTGGAGTATTAATCGCTCCCGCTTAAGCACTTAGAAGGGATTCCGGTGGAAACCAGTGCTTTTGGCTCGCTTTAACTATTCCAGTGATTATTGTAATAAATTTGGGGTTGATCCTGGGTGGAATATCTCTCTCCTGCGGTCCTGTTAATGTACTATTGTGTAGGGTGGGCATGAAATCCGAATCCTGATCCAACCCAATTGTTCATTCGGATCGGTTTTCCAACTCTAAAAGACTAAAATAAATTTTAAATACATAAAACCGAAAATATCGGTTTGGTTTTCAAGTTGACATAAAAACCCGAAATATCCGACCGATTAATTATGCTGTAATTATTAATGTGATATATGAGTGGTTTATGAGGCAATTGTTTACAAGAAGCTATTGAAATCTTACGGTACATTCACTGACATTACATTGGATCATAGCTTTCCTTAATTAATACTTGACCTAAGCAAAATAACACAACAAAAATGCCGCTCCTTCCCAACACACTGCCTTCTTCTATGCTGCCACATTCAACATAGTCCTTGATTTATTAGTCTCTTTCATTCCTTTGAAGATTGAATACTTGAAGGCAACTGTTACAGCAGGGTTTTTTAATTTCTTTTTCTTTTTTTCCTTCATGTTCTTTGATTTTGTTTGAAGTTTGGTGGCAATGACTTATTGGAAATTCTTCTATGGTCTCAAGGATTTGAAAGATTTATTGTGATTAATTTCTAGCATTAGAGTTTTAATATTATTTCTTGTTGCCATTTTAGAGTAAGAATTCATTTGATCTTGAATTTGGTAAACTAAAAACTGATCCAATATGAAATGGTTTCTCTTCTCAAATCGGGTTGATTCTGTTTTAAATTTAAAAAACCAAATTATGTTAGGTTTGAGTCTTCGAGACAATCCCGATCTGAACCAACAAGTTCTAGCTCTACTATTGTGATTATTGGACTTAAATTAATGTAGAGCCTCTCCCTACTAGCTTAACTTTTTAGGTGAAATGACAACTTGAAATGATATTAAAGGCTTGTAAGGTGTTCAATAGACTGTAGAGATTAGTTGAGGTATACGTTAACTGGTCCAAACAACCGGGTCATTAAAAAAAAAATAAAAAAAATAAAAGCCAAAGTTTAATATAAAAGGGTTAATGTATTTAAATATAACATCATAGGTGTATGAAATTAATTATGTGGAAAAAAAATAAGGAAAGTAAAGAAAACACAAATTCTGGTCATCTCTTTTATCAAGTGATAGCCACAACATTCGACACATAAGTTATTCACAAATAAAACTTCAAAGTGATAATGAAACACATAAAAGTTGTATGGGCAAAAAATCATATTAGGCCTGAAGAGGGCCAATAGCGAAATAAACATATTATGACCCAATGCCTTAACCCAATTCCGATCAGGCCTATGCTTAAATCCATATTGTGAACTGATCACTCTATGAGTTGAGCTATCCTACAAGTTAAGTTCAATCGAGCTCTAGCCCATTAGCCAACAACAGTCCAGAATAGGAATCAGAATCCTATTTACTTTTCACTTTAGTCAAGATTTAGAATCTTACTTGAAGTGGTAACCTAATCTGATAAAAGCAAGTTACAAGACTTCCTAATTGGAACTCCTCTACCAAATAGGACTCAGAGTCCTACAAGGACTCCAGCCTCCTTGGTTCACTATATAAACAGGGGCAAACTCTCTCATTATTCATTAAGAAAGAACCCATAGCTCTTAGCTCCTAAATTCTTGCTCTCAAGAATCACTGCATTTCCTTGCCGTGAAGCTTAGTTTTGACTAACTTCACCACCTCAATTATCGCAAAGCTATGCTTTGGCTACTTTGTATTAGTCTAGCCCTAGCCACATTATTCCGGTAAACCCATCTCGCTCTTAGCCCTCACTAAGATTTCTTCAACCTTACTGACTTGAGCGTCGGAGTGCCTATGGTAGACACCACACTAGTGTCACCCAAGCCTTCACGTTTCCTTTCTTTCTTTTTATAGGTCCATCAAATTGTTAGTGGCTCACTTCTCACAAAACGCGTGATGTCGCAGCTCAGATTGCAGCTCTCACCGCACTTGTGCAAGAGAGCAACAACAAGTACCAAACCGTAGAAGCTCAAAACATCAACATCCATGCAAAGAACCAAGCCTTTCAAGATAAGGTAAACCAATTTTACTCCTTAGATTAAACATTGAGTTAGCAACATGCCTCCTCCTCTCAGCTCCCTGTTCATCCTAGACAATTGTTCACCACCTCGAATCGTGAAACCTTAACAAGCCATTCCCATCTCCACTCAGCTCCAACCATCACAATACCCCTAGCCGAGCTGATCCAAGTAGAAACTACTCAACCCATTACTTGGCTACCGAAACACTCACCCAAATGACCTTGCTCCAACAATACCAACTAAACATGCCTTTTGCCCTAACATAAGTGCAACCCTTGCATTCGGTAGCTGGTATATCCCATCATTCCCTCCCATTCGGCTCAACCATACATATCAACCCTAGTGTGTTCCCCCAACTACAAAACACAAACCTTTACACCTTTATGGCAACTGCCCTTAAGCAAGCTGTTGTCCGAGATAAACGCCATGATCCAACTCATCCTTGGCATGCCTATACCCCTAAAAAAGAGCCAACCCCAAAGCTATGCTAACTCATCCTTCATAGACACCATAGCCCTTATTAGGATTGTTCAATGAATCGAGCCACTCGCGAGCCAACCGAGTTTGGCTCGTTAACGGCTTGGCTTGCTGAGTTCGACCTAACTCGGCTTGGTTCGTTGGGGTATACAAGCCCAGTTCGATAATGCCTCGATTCGGCTCGCGAGCCGAGTCAGACTCAAACTCGTTGGGGCTATTTAAGGGGTTTTTAAAGTGAGATGGATTAAAATGAAATTTTTAAAGGAAAATGTTTTCAAAAATGATAAACATCCCCCTAATTTTTAAGCCCCAAAAACGCGATCAACCACTATTTGCTGTAAAACCAAAAAGGAGTGAGCAATTTTAGGCAAGTGTAAGTCGCCGCCGATGTCTTTTTTGTCGTCGTCTACTTCGCCATCGTCTGCTTCATGGGGTCTCTTTCAAATTTCGTCGTCAAACAACTCAAACCTATATGCTTCGCAATCGTCTTTCACGATATGGGCTTGTCGCAGCTGTTAACCCTTCAAATCTCGTCGTTACCATTGCCATCAAGGTTGCTGTGTTGTTGAAGGTGTCAGCTTGTAAAGGTATTTATTTGTGTGGGTGTAGTTTGCTCACAAATCTGATTCATCTGAATGTTCTTAGTTTTAGTTTGATTAATTTATTTGTGTGGGTGTATTTTGCTCATAGATTTGATTCATTATGATTTATGCAAAATATGAATATTTGATAGCCATGTCCCAGAGAATGTTTGCTGCACGATGAGTAGTTTGAGGACCAACCAATAACCATCTTCTCTGCACAAAATTTACAGCCAAAAAGAGTTAGCACTTAGCAAGTACACCGTATACGCAACACATTTGTAACTTGTAAGACTAAGACTAAGACTAAGAGGAATAGAGGATAGATTAAATTAATGTAGTGGATCTACAAATTGTACAATAACCATCTTCTCTACCTCTTCACATTTGTAACTTGGAGAACATTTAATGGAAAATGATGACAAATATAAAAGATAGTGAATATTTTAGTCAGTTGTTGGTCCCCTGCTGGTAAACTAATATGAAAAATAAAAGTTGTTGGTCGGTTGGTCCCCTACTGCTACTGGTAAATTAATAAAAGGTGCATTAAGACATTAATAAGAGGTAAATTAATAAGAGGTGCATTAGCCTCTCTGCAAGGTCTACCAGTAACCACCATTAAGGCATTAACTCAATAAATTATAAGGGCTATTATGAGAGTAGTTGTGCAACCAGCAAAAAAACCAGCAAAATTACCCTTAAAAGTGTGAATGAAGGGTGACAAAACTCCATAGGCATTTAATGTTTATGTAGTTGAGTGGGTTTAATGGAGTTGAAATAAGAATTTGACCCGTAGAGAATGTTGTTCTATGTTTTTCTCTCTTGGCTTTTGGTCTTAAGATGTTCATGCCTTTACTTCGGTTTGAATTTGAGAAATGATTGATGAATGTAGCTTCCACTCTCTCCATAAGCTTGGAAACCTGTAATAGCACATCCCAAATTATACTTCCATAAATATAAGGAATTAAAGGAGTGGCTCCTAATAATTAATTGAGCAAATACATGCTTCTTTGTAAAAGAAATTTTATTTTTAATTTGTTACTGAACGCTTCACCTCCTCAAAGCTGCCAAGGTAGGAATTATCCACCATCTTCATGTAAGATTTTGATGCATGTCTTAAAAGTGATTTGCCAAAATTGAGGAAGTAGTTTGATTAATTTAAGCCCATCACACTAAATTTGGAAGCATAAATGGGTTTTGAGAGAGGGGATATACCTTATCATAGTTCTTCATGATCTTTGAAAAAACTTCTTTAATTTCGGCTCACAATAATTAACTCAAGGGTTATGAATTGTGATATTTGCAATTTATGGGTTTGTCCAATATTGTTTAAATGTGTAATATGTTTGTTCATTACAACATGTAATAGTTATCCTAGTTTTATTTTCTTATATAGGTTTGTAAATGGCTGGGAGTTCCTTAAGCATCCCTACGACTACAATGCAAGATACAATTACTATTACACTGGGTGGTAAGTGTGACTTGAATGTGACCACAACAAATACCAAACAAAATATAAGTAGCCTAGATAATGGTGATGAGAATGAGAATCCAATTCAAAGGAAAAAAAAGAGCTAAGACATTGGTGGTATGGACGAAGTTTAAGGAGGTGGTACTCCCTAATGGTAACAAAAAGGCGGAGTGTATCTATTGCAAAATAAACTGTGTATTAATGCCACCAGAAGCACCACACAGTTTAATATACATTTAAAACGAAATTAAAAAAGAAAA